GTTTTTTTCATTGTTTTGATGACTACTGTTACTCTAAAATGTGGAAAATATTAATAATAGAAAATGAGTGGGTGTGTTCAAATTTTTGACTTTCAGTGTATATCTGTATATCTAATAAGAGCAATTAAAACAAAAAATCTCCTTATATTTCACAACAGAAACGCAGTAATTCAATGAAAAAATCTTCACGCAAGCAAAGACTGAGTACAGCCTCAATGAAATACACTGAGAGGACACCATCTGTCAGAAAGTAAGAAATCCTCACATATCCCTATTGAAAAAAACAGCATATGCTGGTTAGGTATGTTTTGAAGCATGGCTGCTGGTTTGAGCTGGTTTAAGCTGGTCATGTACACCATAAGCACATAACCAGCTTAAACCAGCAGCCATGCTTCAAAACATACCTAACCAGCATATGCTGTTTTTTTCAACAGGGATATTCTATTAGAATACCTACATATATGATTTAATGACATGGAAACATTTATTCTCTCACCTCTCTCTCTGTCATTTCAGAGAAGTTGATAAAGAGGAAGTGACTCAGCGTTCTAACAGGAAGTCCTCCTCTTTAGCAAACGGTCTCTGTTCACCCTTTACAACAGGGGATGATGGGAAGCAGGAGGTGGATGGGCGTTCTGAAAAAGTAGCTGGGGACTCAGAAGGTGTAAATGTTGGGGTGGATGTGGAGGATGTGCCACTGGATGGATGGCCTCTACGCAGAGTCATATCCATCGAGGAGGACCACCTCCCTCACCTGCTGCAAGGAGACCCTCACCTTCTTCTGCATCAGCTCAGTGAGGAAGAAGAAGTAAGGGGGAAAAAAGAAGGTCAGGTCAATCTAGAGACAAGCTCCCTGTACCCATCCAATGCGTCCCTTGCCTCTGCTGACTCTCCACCACCAGTTAGGGTGAAGAAGGCGTCTAAGAAGAAATGGATCAAAGGAAACCTGCCCTCATCTGCACGGGGTCATCCTGCCGGAAAGGAGACCCTTCAGCAGGCAAGCGTAACCTCATATGCAAAGATGTTGAATATCATAACAGAATGTTTGCATGTAGAGATCTTGAAGATACAGTAACAAAAAAAAGTTATTTAATTAATGTGTCAGAGAGAGGGCATAAAATGGTTAGCTTTAGCACAGCAGACCTTTAAATAACATAATAAATGGACTTTAAGACAAACCTTACAAAGGTCTAGACCTGGGGTGACCAAACCTTTTCCTGAAGGTCCAAAGTCCTGCAGAGTTTAACTCCAACCAGCTCCAACACACTTGCCCAGAAGTTTCTAGTGAGTCTGAAGACACTGATTAACTAGTTCATGTGTGTATAAATAGGGTTGAAGCTAACAGTGGCCCTTCAAAAACATGTTTGGACACCACTGGACTAGACTATGTCCCATTTAAAGTGTAAAAGTGTTTTCTTTACTATGCACAGTTTTCAACGCAGCTAGCTTTAAACTTTATTTTCAAGAGGTCACTCTGGGTATTTTCGGCTGCAGGGTCCTGCAGAAGGATCTGCTGCATCCCCTCAGCGCCTCTTTAAGGTCATTCTGGTGGGAAATTCCAGTGTTGGCAAAACCGCACTGCTTTGACGCTTCTGTGATGGACAGTTTCATTCTGCCACCGCAGCCACTGTGGGTGAGTTGCTCTCCTACTACTATGTGCAATTCACAATTTAATATTGCTCAAGTTAGTGAGTAAACAGGATTTAACACATGACTTTGCAATGAGGGATTTTCAGGAAATACAATTTTGGTCCTTCAAGTTGGTTGCCCTTTTACTAAGTTTGCTTTATTTGATCGGATAGATGGATTAGTCCTCTCTCTTTTGGTAATTGTTATGATTTATATGGCCACTGATTCACCAAAGTTTGCAACCTTCGACATCTAAAGTCTGTGCATCAATATTGTGCGTAGTGTTACTCCTTAAAGGCTTTTTAGTGCATTGTGTTTAAATGTGTGTACGTGTGTTAGCTAAAGCCTACTATGCTATATCAGATGGATTTGTTAAAGCAGGCAGCATCACATGAAAGGGCTTGAGAAGTCACACTCCCTGCATTTAAACCCTGGCACACATTGCACGGCAGATTATGTCAAACACCATCAATTCACTTTCTGCAGAGTTTATAGCCTTTCACCACTGAACTGTAGTGGATTCATAAATAATCTGGACAATTAAAAAGTATGAATTTCATTGTATTAGGTACAATCAAACCAAAAGGCATCTTCAAACAAACAAAACTGGAGCTTTTTAGCCATTTAGTTACTTTCAATCAATTCACTTGTATGTTACACACATAAATATTACACAACAGTAGCCCCTAGTGGCCATTTGACCTTACTGCAGGTTTTGATTTAAAGGGTTAGTTCACCGAAAAATGAAAATTCTGTCATTAATTACTCACCCTCGTGTTGTTCCAAACCCGTAAGACCATCGCTAATCTTCAGAACACAATTTAAGATATTTTTGATGAAATCTGAGGGCTCTCTGACCCTCCCATAGACAGCAAGGTAACTACCA